AAGCTACGAGAATACTTTTTGTGCGCAAAAGGGAAAAAAAACGACTTTATTCAACAATTCGTCTCCTCCGCATCACCCTGTAGCGCCATTTTGGAGAATATCTGTTGGACGTAAACAACGTATGCTGTTCTGTGTCAGCTGCGTCACGCCGGATCTGTTTCCTACGTTGTTGTGATTTGATCTGAACGGAAACAGCGTTTTTTTTTCTTTTTTCTTTTGCACACAAAAAGTATTCTCTGTTAATGTTCTTCACATTTTGAAAAAAATGTATCTTTTAAGAACTGTTTACTGAAAAGTTCTTTGGGAAACTCAAAATGGTTCTTCAATGGCATTCAAAAAACCCTCTTGGAAGCTTTATTTCTTATGAGTGTACAGTTGGATCCAAAGGTCTTTGGTTGGTAGTAAACTTCTGTGTTTGCTATAATGAAATTCTGTTTGCTTCTTTATTAAACAATGTAGAGCCTCTCAGTTTTGTTAATCATTTGTTTCCTCATCGTTTCTTCTATCTTCTTTGAGAAGAAGGAATGCAGAGGCAAAAGAACCCCCCTAAGTGGAATGAGACTGACCTGGATGCATCATACGAAAAAAAGCCTCACCACACCTATGACAGTGAGTTACACAATTTTAATGTTTTTTTTGATAGCAACATTAAAAAGAAAAACATTTTAAACTCATGCTGGATTGCATAAATTTGCATTATTCATTAGTTAACCTGGAGGCAAAAATGAAAAGAAATTATTAAAAGGCCCATTTCTGTTCTTCAAATATTTTCATTGAAATTCAGTGCCTATTTTATATTGTTATCAGAATAAAAAATGATAAAGAAACACATTTATTAAACTAATAAATAAACAGTGTATCAGACTTCACTTTGACTGCTACATGACAGAATTCTTAATTTGCTTAATGTTACATAAATGCTAAGTTTAAAAAAATATTTAAAATGGATAATGTAAAGAAAATCTAAATAAACATAAAGCATGATAAATTCTCTACAGTCTATTCCTCAGTCACTTGGTATTGCTTCTTTGTAGCAAACTAATTTAAAGGGGTCATATGACGTTGCTAAAAAGAACATTATTTGGTGTAATGCAATGTGTTTATGCGGTTTAAGGTTCAAAAAACACATTATTTTCCTCTATGCCTCGCCTTTCTGAAACGCATCGATTTTTACAAAGCTCATCGTTCTGAAAAGTGAGGTGTGCGCTGATTGGCCAGCTATCCAGTGCGTCGTGATTGGCCGAATACCTCAAGCGTGTGACAGAAATGTTACGCCCCTTACCATACTGTGATGCCGTGTCCCGGCGCGATGAGACAAAACCAATAAAACCCATTATAAATGAGGCATTTGTTGCATCCAGTGGGGACATAATTACTGATTATAATGACTTGTACTGTCTTTTTATGCGTTGCATTGCGTATTGCGCCACATAAACATAAAACCATGTCTGCATTTGTGATCGGAGAAATGACAAACAACAAGCACTACTCTACACTGCTCAAAACTCGCGTTTAAATCATCAGTGGCAAATTCTTTAAATATGAAAACGTACTTGCAGTCTGAGAATCAGAGCAGCCGGCATGGTAGTCTACTCTTCCAGGTTCAGGAAACAGTCTGTTAACATGTTATTTCCTCCCTACTCTGTTCACATGGAAGAAGGTTCTTCTGGGTTAAAAATGACGTTAGCGCGTGCACTGGTTCAAAGGTGAGCGCAAAAGGGGGCGTTGTTGGAGAGGAACAGTGTTGAACCATGTTGCTTATGTGAGCGAGGTGATGAAAGGAATAAAGTGCGTTAACTGAATAAACGTCGTGTTTATTTGCTTTAACATGGTAGCAGAGGATGGTTGAAGGATGGCAGCTAGTTATAAAGTTCCGCCGAAATTTGATGAAACCAGGCCATACGAGTGTTGGAAAAATTAAGTTAATATCTGGACGCGGGTTACCGAACTCGACAAAAAGAAACAAGCCCTCGCTGTTGCCTTGGGGCTTGAGGGGAGAGCCTGTGAAACGGCGATGGAAATACCTGCGGAGGATTTAGACCGTGATAATGGTATGGCAACGCTGATGGCTAAGCTTGACGATGTGTTCCTAAAAGAGGAAAAGGATTGCGCATATGAAGAGTATTCTTATTTTGATGGAATAACGATGAATAGTTCGGTTTCCATGGTGGACTACATAATTGATTTCGAACAGCGATACAATCGGATGAAAAAGTATAATATGATGCTTCCTGATGCTGTGCTGGCTTTTAAGCTATTGGACACGGCCTGCCTCGACAAAAAAAACAGACAGCTAGCACTGACGGCCTGCACAGAGTTGAAGTTTTCATCCATGAAGTCGGCTCTAAAACGGATTTTCGGAGGAAAAACGACAGGCTCGTCAAACTGAATACAAGTGAACCAGGACTTGGCATTTTTCACAGAACAAAGACCACAAGGAAGAGGAAAACGTAACGTAACGTGGCAAAGTGGACAACCAAAGCAGCCATTACCAGGGACTAATCCACTGGATAAATACGGTAAGAGATCCAGATGTGCTATTTGCCAGTGCACATTTCATTGGGCTAAAGACTGTCCACACAAGAAAACCGAACAAGTAAGAATAACTGAAGATGCAAATATTGAGGAATGTAACATCACATTGTTTACAAAGGCCTCCATGTCAGATGCAGAGATATTCATGACTGAATCATTAAGATCATCGATTATTGACACTGCATGTACCCATACTGTGTGTGTGGGGAGAAATGGCTGGAAAACTATATTGATGACCTCACTCAAGATCAAGTGAACCAGTTGATGCAAACAGAAACTTGCAGTTGCAGACCATTTCGCTTCGGAGATGGGAATTTGGTATATTCCACAAGAAATGTGAAATTACCAGCTAAAATAGGACTGACAAAATGCCTAGTTGAAACAGAAGTTGTCAAGGCTGACATTCCACTCCTGCTGAGTAAAACGTCACTGAAGAAAGCAGGGACCATTTTGGACATGGAAATGGACAGTGCAGTGATGTTCAAACAATCTATTCCTCTTGAATTTACTAGTTCTGGACATTACTGTGTCGATATCAGAGACAAAGACACTAAAAAAAATCAAACTGAAGAGGAAGTTCTAACAGTGACCGAAAATATGTCTCCAGATGAGAAACGCAAAGTCCTTCTGAAGCTCCATAAACATTTTGGTCACGCGTCGGCAGACAGGCTATAGAGGCTCATTCACAGTTCAGGAAATAAGGACAAAGAATGTTTTACTATTCTACAACAAATAGTTTATGACTGTGAAATATGCCAAAAGTACAAGAGGACAAAGCCAAAGCCT